ATGTAGAATTTTATGTGTATAAATTATAATGAAAAATATCAAATTGACTTGATAATTCTATCTAAATTATTTTTATTATATTTTTTCTTAAAAAAATCGAACAATATAAATTATTTATAAATTTTTTTAAGATAAATAAAATAAAATTATATAATTTAATTAATTGTTTTTATGACTGGTCCATGCACAAAATACAACAAACTGAATAATTCAATTGTGAAAGTGGGATCCATGGGTCTCCATAGGATCCTCTAATCCATTGTGTAGACCGAAGATAATTATCTTCATTTCTACAATTAGGGTAAATTACAGTAAATTCTTTTATTTATTTACATTTTGTCCTGTTAAATTTTAAAACTTCATAGTTAGCGATCTCAAAATATTATTTTATTATAGTTAACTCTTTTTGTTAGAATTTTACTTAAAATCAGATCATATGTTATGTAAAACATATAACACATTTATTAAATTTTTGTTACAATAATGCCCTCTTTTGGCCATCTTGTTTGTAATTTGCAATTAAGATAAAAGAGACAAAGTGCAAATAAGATAACTAGATAAAAGTATTATTATCTTAAAAAAATCAAAAAAGTGTATTATTGTCCTAAAAAATTAATAAGTGTGCCATGTGCTTCCCACATGACTTGATTTCGTTTAAATCTTAAGACAGAATCCTAACGAAATGTAATAGATGTAACAAGATAATAGTTCGATGTGATTAACTGTTACATTTTGATGTTCAAGGAGGTATAGCGCAAATGAATTATAATTTAAGGTGGTTTATTATAATTTATTCCCAAAATTAATAAGTAAATTATTTATAAGTCCTATTTGGAAGACTTATACAAGATATGATCCTATGAAAAAACTTATAACCTAATAAGTCCTGTGATTTTCTTGTGGACACATCTACCCCCAATCTTAATTAATTAATAACCTAATTAATGATAATACCATATTTGAAAATCCAATATTACCATAGATTATAATCATATTTATATGGTTAAAAATTTAAAATTCAAAATAACCTAATTAATGGCAATACCATATATGTGAAATTCAATTTTACTATAGATTGTGATCATATCTATATAGTTGGAAATTTGAAATTCAAAACGTAAATGTAACATGTAACATCTCAAACCCAATCTGACATTCCCATATACTTCTGAAATTGAAAACAGCTTGATTAATAGCAATACCATATATAGGTAATCCAATATTACTATAGACTGTAATCATATTTATATGATTGGAAATTTGAAATTCAAAACATAAATGTAACATGTAACATCCCAAACTCAATGCGACATTCTCATATGTTTCTCATCCTAAACCCAACGTAAATGTAACATATAACATCCCAAACCCACCGTGACATTCCCATATGCTTCTCATCCCAAACTCAATGTGACATTCCAATACTCCACCGTTAAATTATGAATAATATGACCTCCTAAATGTAGCATATAACATCTCAACCCTGTATTGAACCACCACCACCCCCAACCCATCGTAACTTTGATATCATACGACGGGGTTCAACCCACATTTAATTAAAAAATTAAAAACCTAGAAATTTTGCACAATGTAATGTGACATATATGTAAACACTAAATACAACAATGACACGACACAACCGAACGTAACACACAAAAGACTTAGCAGCGTTGTGGATATGGGTTAACATTACAACCTAAGTGTAACGTCATTGGAGGCTAATGAAAATGTGCCATTGGATGGCTGTAATAGATTGTCAAAGCCATATCAGATAAGATGACGGTGAAACATGAACAATTGGCATCACACAACAACAAATCTCACCAATTGGAGAAGCAAAAACCATACCTCCTTCCCTCAATCACTTGGAGTCCAAATCAACAAAAGTAAACAAAACACAACCTCCAACCTTGACGATAGTTTTGGCCATATTCTCATCCAAACAAGCAACATTTTCAAAATCCACTGGAATCTACAATCAAGGCGACATTCACGCCCACGGACGTAGCCTGCACAATCCACTTTCCTAAAAGCCTAAAAAAACATAATATATTGAATGATACAATAACCTATAATATGAAAATAAATAAGGGATATAATAGTACACTAATACCATTTATTTACAACTGATAGGACCTTATGAAACATATTCCTATCTAAATAGGACTTGAAACTCTATAAGAAATTACACAGAGTTTCACATTAAATAAGTTCCCATAATAGGACTTATAAATAATTTTCCCCAAAATTAATACCTAAATGGGTAAATTACAATAAATCCTCTTAGAGTATGACTCGTTTGCATCTTGTCCCCCTGAATTTCAAAATTCAACAGTTAACCACTTTAAAGTATTATTTTATTATAATTAACCCCTTCTATTAGAATTTTGTTAGGGATTTACATAAAATCAGGTAATGTGTCATGCACATAACACTTATTTAATTTTTATGACAATAATACTCTTTTTTGATGATCCCATTTTCACTTTACCAGTAAGATAAGGAATGCGAAGCGTAAAAAAGATCACTAGATAAGGATATTATTGTCCTTAAAAATTAGTAAGTGCATGATGCGCTTCATACATGATCTGATTTTGTCTAAATCCTTAACATAATCATAATGAAATGGTTTTAGTGTATTAAGATAATACTTAGAGGTGGTTTAATGTTGAGTTTTAAAATTTAGGGAGGCAAAGTGTAAATAAATTATAATTTAAAGGGGTTTAGTGTAATATTTACTCTAGCTAAAATTACTCACCTCTCTATTTAAGTTAAGCCATTTAAAATAGAATTAAAAAAATTACTTTTACCACATAAACTACAATTTACAACAATCAATCTGATATAATAATAATAAAAAATATATATAAAAAAGAGAAGAAGAAGATATAAGGTCATAAATTTAAGTTGTAGCAAACGCGGCTAATGTGGTCTCTGTTCCTTTTAATATATGGCGAAATATTATCATGACTATTAAATTTTATTTCAATTTAACATGATTCTTTAATTTTTAAATTTTTATTTGAGCTCTTAATCTTTATAATAAAGTTAATATAAATAAACTTCGAGAAATCTAAGTACATTACATTATTTGTTAAGCTATATATGTTACACCTTAAACTAAAGGCAAACTCCCCTTTTGAACTTTTTCTTTATATTTGGGCTATCTGACATTTTGTTAAACCCTAAAATTAGCTTAGTTCTTTTCACTTTTGTCAATTCTTGAGGTAGATGAAGTCTGCAACATTATTGAAAAAGAATAAATTAAAAATTAAAAAAACCTGTTAATGGAAAACAAGTAAAAGCAAAGAAAGTATGCGAGGCCTTGGTTGCCAAGTTTGAATTCTTGTTGGTTAGCTTGTAATCTGTTGCTCTTCCCTTCACAGTGACCAATGGGCCTGCATTGCATGGTGCTGTGGTGAGGAACTCCAAGTCTCCAAGAATAGTGAAAGTCAGTTTCAAGGCCCCATTTGGTGATAAATACTGAAACCCTCATTTTCATTTCACATCTCAGAAAAATGTGATTTTTTCTAATTTGTTTTTGTAGTTTTCTTCAAATCCATCAGTCCCACAAATGTCAACCTGCTCTCTTTTGCAATTCATATCCTCCCTGGCATCACAGTGCCATATGCATATACATACACATGTACACAGTTATTTACCAAACTCAACTTCTTTACAATTAATTTATTTCTCATGTTCTCCATTCACAAATATAACCACATAGGTTTGACAATTAAGGTAAAATATATATATATATATAAGCTTGGGTTTGAAAAATATGTTTTAATTTCCTGTTTAACCATGTATTGACAGGGATTGTGTGTAACCACATAGGTGTCCTACACAAGCCCACCAAAAGATTGGAAAAAACAACAAAAAAAAAAAGAAGAGGGAGCAACCATGGAAAATTCATGAGTGACATATCATAAGAAAAGTGACCTCAATAGTAGATTCCTAATCCAAATATCATTTTCATGTGCTTTGAATATATCCTTGCATTCAATGAAATTGGTTGGATTTTTTTGTCATAGGTGGGTGGTCTAGTTTATTAGATTAGTCCTAGGTAACCATATGCTATCCAAACAGCTTACACAACATTGGTTAAAGCCCAACTTGATTCTTAATCCAACCCACCTTTTAGTAACCCAGCAAAATCAGACATGGACTGGATATATATATATATATATATATGCATTCGTTTGGAAAGTGCCTACGGGATTAAAATAACTACAAAAAGACAAAATAAGTTAAAAAATCAATAAGATAAAATGTCACATTCAAAACATAATCATTTCATTTTCTCTCTCACAAAAGTCAAAAAAGTCAAAAAAAACCAATCTCAAACGAGACTTTTTAGCCCCATGCTAAAATAACCAAAAAAACTAAGCCAACTCATATCCCATACGAACCCATAGCCCAGATTGAGAAAATTGAGGATTCTACCCTTCCGGACTTGATGCTCAACAGCTCAGTCAAAATTACATTTTGATCCTAAACCAGACTCGAAAAACAAATAATGAGCAGAAAACAATATTTAGGAATATGATACTTGATTGATCTGAATTCACTTCCATCCATTTCTTCCCCTTTTAGGCTGCGTTTGGAACTAAATAGGGTAGGTGGCTATCAATGAGTGAGAGGGAGAGAGAGAGAGAGAGAGAATGCGAGAGTGAGTAAGCCGAGAGCGAGGCTGTTTTGGCCTAAAAAAGTAACAGTTTCTAATGTTGTCATTGGAATTGATACTAAGAAATTCAAATGACAATGATATTCACTTCACATTTCACTTCCAGGTTAAGAATCATCAGCACAGAAACAACAATATAGACAAAAGTGATGTTATGTAGTGAAACATGCTTTAGCAGTTAGGCATCTGTTGTTTGATGAACATGATAGAAATCTAAATTCGTTTATATTGTATGCATGTAAAACAAAATTATCTCTACTTCTATGCAAGTAAAGCAAAAATGTCTCCAAGATGTTTACATTTTGTGATTAAATAATGAGAGAAAGAAAGGTTTGCACATATTTATATGCAAATACATAAATCATTAATGCAAATCTGTCTCTAAGATGTTACACTGTGTTTGAACTCGGAAGAGAAGAAAAATCTAAATTCCCTCATCTTGCATGTAAATTCATGAAATGAAATCTGCATCTGAATATATACAAATGAATTTAACAATTAAAAGAACAGCCCAGTGCACAAGGCTCCCGTCACTGCGAGATCTGAGAAAGGTCTAATGTGCATAGTCTTACCCCGTGTGCGAAGATACTGTTTCATTAATAAGTTAAAAACCTACAAACTTCATATAACAAAATCAATTGCAAGACAGGAGACAATGAGAGAAAAAATAAAACAAAGGAAGTCAGAATCCTCATGATACAAGCAACCTATTGGTACCTTGCAATTAAAACCTGTATAGGTGAAGCTTTGCGTAGTTGAAGGTGGCCTTAAACTATTGCCCAAAACTTCTTTCTGCAAATTAAGACCGGTTCTGTTTTCTTTTGTTCATTTTCCAGTGAATGTGATTCGACATCCCAAAGGAATTTTGGGGCAATAGCTCTTATTCTTGATATAATTAATTCTTCATCTCTAATAATGATAATTCCCTGCACATTAATGTTGTCAGAATCTTTTCCAATCGTTCAAGCAACTTCCACAAAACACAAAATTACATGCAAGTCTGGAGAGCTAGAAACTAGAATTGACATTGATGAAACTCAAGTCAGTCAATGAGAAACTGGGCAGGATCAATGCTTTCCTGCTTCAGATTCAGCATAAGTATTTGACATTTAAGTGCAATCATGGTTGTCAGTATAGTCTATCAGTTCAACTGTCAGCACCTGTTACCCAAAACCAAAACAAACTACAAAGCTAATCTCAAGCCAAGTAACCGATTCATGGAGCAGATGCGGGAGCAGGTTTGTGAATGGGAGCATGAGAGCGACTTTCTCAAAAATATCTCGAGACTTCAAAGCGTTTATGTACGTTCCATTTATATGTCATACATATTATCAAGCATTTTATAACTTTTTTATTTATTAATTTTTTTATAAAGGTGATTAATATTTACTAAAATAATATTGTTTGATTGGCATATTTACTCAAATAATATTGAAATGCAATTTATATTTGTTTTTGCTATGATAAATAAATAAAAGAAAACAGAACATTGATTAGCCTAGCAGTAATCCTTTCTCCCTTCAAAACTTGGTAGACTCGTTCCATTACAGTTTGCATGAGAACGCTACTGCATGACTTCCTTACAGTGAGGCTTCTTTTGTGAGCTTGTTTGACCCATTTTCGTTCCAATTCACGAATCCACAAACTTATCTATGATTCGTTAGTCTACAGCCACAAATTACAAAAGTCAGAACCCCCAAATAAATACAACTTTTGTCCATTGTTAGATATGGTTCACAATTATGGATTATTAGTCAATTCATCAAATGCTTGGCACCCAGAGACAACCAACTTTAACGTGAAAAAATCTCAATTGAAGAACCACTAATTGAGATAAAAAAATCACAAGCCCAAGGCCACCAAATCAATCCACTAAATCAAGTGAGCAATTAAAATAGTCTTGCAATCACCAGTGAATCCACACCCAACAGACTTGAGCTTGCCTTGCCTAATCCATGCTCATTGCTCTCTTGGGATTTATTTCCAATGTGCCAAGTCCAAGACACGATCAGCGTCTCCGGAATCCACCAAAGGTCTTCACAATTGCCTTTCGGAATCTACTAAAGGACTTCGACTAAGTGTAGAAGAACTGACTTGTAGACTTGGTTCAAGCTCATCGATCCATAGATCTCATGATTAATTTCCAAGAGTTGAAGAAACCTCTATCCAGATCACATCTAGGCAGGGAAACCAGACACTAGGATCTGAAAATGACTGAGATTCTCGCTTTTGTAACTAACTGTGCCGACCTTGACTGCTCAAGTCGTCTCATCACTGCTCAAGTGATGGAATCAATTTCACAATAGTTTGTAACAGACATTGAGATCAAGCAAGGTGAGATCTACTGCTGGACCACCGCTCAAGTGGTGGATCCTTCAATTCTACTGTTCAGTTTGTTGAATAACGTCAGCTTTAATTCACAGCTTAAGTGTACGAGAGGGATTCACACACACAAGTACATGTACATGTACTTGCTAAATAAAATTTCAAATGGAAACAAGATTACAACTAAAATAAGTGTTTGTCAATTGAAATAGCCAAAACTAACTTCTAACACCTGAGGAATGTTAGATGACTCTAGATACTAGTATAAGACACAGCAAAAAGGACATGGATGCCATAAAAGCCCAATAACCAGTGCCGAACCTACAAATTTGTTGTTTTGGGAATGGGTGGACTAGGTAAAAATCCTATAACTCTAAATACCAAATAAACTAAAATTCCAACACAATATAACTCCTAATCTTCCATATTTTTTCATCCAATTTCTTCTTGATCCCCATCAGTTATACACTTAACCTTCAACATTATTTGCATGAATTGGCTGGAGAAAACTCAAAACACATTTCTCATGCCTAGAACCCTGAGCTTTTACTATTGTACAAAGCTATTCTAAACCGAAGATATCTTTATATTCATATGCATTCATGACTTGATAGAAAATTACATCCTATCATTTCAATAACCCTGATGGAAATTAATTTTTGATTTTCCAATTTCTATGAGCATCAAAAATAAATTTTACCAAAATAATTACCTGAGGTCGTATTACCCTGTCCATCTCCAACATAATATCCTCAAGTAAGCAACCTTCTTCACGATTTTTATAGTGAGAGAATAGATGGTTAGCATGCAGCAAATCATATGAGCGTGGATAAGTTGAGAATGGCTCACACCTACATGTAGCAGAGCAAATACTAGTAAGATATATTAATGAAATTTTAGCATGCAGTAGCTAACTAGCAATAGTCATTAGATAAAAACTTACCAGTCGTGAAAAGCACCAATCAGACCTCGGTTATATATAGCAGATAATGTATTATTCATGCTTATTGGAACTATGTTCATCACCCAAACAGGCCATGTACTCAATGCAACTGCAAATCCACCACAAAATGCATTCATATCCATGACATTTCGTACTTCTGTCTCATCCACATTCATCAGCCTCCAGTACTGGCGAACTTGATCTTGCCAAAAGAGGGTATTTGAAATGAATTTTTTTTGATTGATACCTAAGGTAAGCATATAAATGATTAGTTAAAAAACTGCAAACATTAATGTCGACAGATATTTTTGGGTAATCCTAGTGCTAAACCCCAGACAAGAAGGGAACAAATTAATGGTCTACATCCATGTCAACCGCTATGTGATGGGAAAAAACATAGTTATGACATTTGTTCCAAGAGCCGAGCAGTAAGGAAACTAGAGTCAGAAAAATACAAATTTTAACACTAAAATCACCATAATCTACCAACCACATGTATTTCAGCATTCACTAAATCATCTTGAAACCTCGTCCTCATAAAACATAAAATGATTATCATCACAGTTTTTTATTGAATATCCTAATGATAGTCGAAACTAATCTTTTATTCACCAAGAAAACCACTTATTAAAATTTTTCATGATCTAAGTCAGCAAAAATTGAGTCCAATACATGTCAAAATTTTCCACACCAAGTCTATGAGAATTAGAGAATCAACTCTAGCCAAAAAAATTCCCTCAAATAGCAAGCATTTGCTATATACCCTTATGCTGAATTCAGAATTGGTGATGTTAGTAGTATATGTTTCCATCATACAAAGATTTGCAAGCATCATATAAACACAGAATTAGTTGGCATAGATCCCTCATCTACACTAAGTTCAGTAAGAACTTCAACTCCACTGATTATCCATATTAATCTAATCAAAGCATAAAATAACTTTCATTTAGCAGAAAGTTGAGTATCAGTGGTGCACTGGAAAACTACTATCCTGACAGCAAGGCTTTAGCTGAATCACATTCACTTTTAATGCCCTACTTCTTGAGACAAATCATAAAAGTAAATAAACATAATAATGTTGAAAATAGCTTCCATATGCAGTTTTAATTCTTTGCTCAATGAACAGTGAACAAAATAATGCCTCTAATTTAAATAATTATAAAAATAGATACAAGCATTCTTGATAAAAATGCCATTATATTCAAATTGCATGCAAAATTAGGAGCAAAAAAATAAAAACCAGAATTCAATTCTACCATGCTCAGTAAAAGAGATTGTGCCAGACCTATACTACTAAGACTTTCAGAATATTCTGAAAGGCGCTGTGGCTTTGGAGGGAGCTTGTGAGACTCCACTTGTGCTTTACTTAGTGTGACACAGTTCCTAAGTGACGTGTTCCATGATGGATTAGAATCATCTACAGAATCACATATATGTATGAGCTTCTGCTCTGCGTTGTGGAGAAGACATGATTGATTTTCTTGCTTAATCCAGATTGCAGTCTGAACTTTTTGAGCGATGAGCTTCCAGCACATTCCAGAAGTCAAATACATCAACTTATTCCATATCAATGGATAATCTTTATCCTTTCTGTATGCAGGTGGAGCTGAATAAACAAAATATCCATTAGATCGCAGGAGGCGATTCACTTCTTTGAGAAGAATACCATCTACAAAACAACAACAAAAGTCGAAATTAATCAAAAGGCAAATTTAAGAAAATATCATAAGGCACATGAATCCTGCAATACAAAGTAAAGTCCAACTTGGAATCGTACTTAGATTGACAAATTACCCGAGCACAAGTTCAGTCAACCACTAGGTAAGGATAAAAGTGAGTTACAGTGCAATGCTTTAGCCCTTTATCACTGTCTTAAAAGTTTTCTAGCAAATTTATTCAATTCAAAATAATTATAGAATTTATTGCTTCTTGATGAACACACCAATCATCAACAGCTATGTCAAAGTCTCTTATAAGGAGCTGCTTTTTTCTCTTCCCTTCTTTTCTTTCTTTATTTACTATTATTATTTGATTTCTTGGCCCTCTAGATAAAACTGTTATACATGCTTCTACCAGAAGTTCAGGTCCCAATTCATAGAGGTGTTTGTTATATGGCTGCCATATGAAGTTTTAAATTGTTTATCTTCGTCTGTAGAGTTAGAAGTTGTTTTCCCTTTCTTTTGGACTTTAGATTGTTTGTTATGTGTGTTTATCTTTCAGAATGTCAAAAACTTGTTCCTCTTTTTAAGGGGTAATGCAGGTTCCATGTAGTGTTAGTGGAGTCAAGTTGTTAGTCTTCATCTTATCCATTTAGCACTAAGCATGGACACAAACATGGACATGTGGCATGACACGAACATGATATTGACAGTCTGACAAAAAATGTAGGATATGGCACGTGGGGGACACGTGCAAAATATATAATTTTATATATTTATTGTAATATTATATGTAAGGATAAATAATAAATAATCATTTATTATATAAATGAACATTTAAGTCAAAGATAATAATTTTTAAAATCTACAGACAGAGAATATGTATAAATTTACATTGTTTTTGTTTTATCATTGGATTCCAAGTTGAGTTTATTTAAACTTATAAACGGTTTCATATGTGTAAGTGTTGGAAAGTGTCCAACAAGTGTTGTGCCGTGTTGTGTCAGTGTCGGACATGACAAGTTACCTTCTTGGAAATGTTCGTGCCTCTTAGATGAGAACCATATCAACAAAAAGCAGCGTTTGGATTTTCAAGTAAAACAGTGTGTTTGGGGGTTTATTTTTTCCCTTGAAGCAAAGCTATCTCTACAAAACTTTTCAACCTCAGTTAGTGCAATAAAACAGGGTGGCTATTGCAACACTACCAAAATGTTGGAAAAGGTGAAATTGAGTTGATTTCTGCAGTATTAGGTTGCAGGACTTGCTGAGATACTCATCTGGATTTCTTTGGACAAAACTATGTTATGGTGTTTAATTGTAGATTTTGGCCATGTTTGTTAGGGGTATATAAGGGGCAGATACGAGGGGGGACCAGATAGTATATGATGTGGGTCCCACATGTTTTCTTGTCTCCCTATATCCCGTGTTTGGTTGCTCCGGATATAGGGAGTCCGGATAGTATATGATGCAAAAGAGGATATGCAATACAAATCCCCCCATGGTATTGTATATGCAATACCAAACATAATATAAGTGACTCCACTGTATATAATCTATCTTATATCTTACAACATATTATATCTCATCTTTATCCTTAGGTATTATATATCATCCTCAAACCCTTACATTAAATGTGGACAATCAAACGGGGCCTTTGTGCCCAAAACATAGGGGAAAAGGTTGAGGACGACATGAATCCGAGAATAGTAGCTTGGGAGTGCCTATGGGAGCATATATATATTTTCTATATTAAATGTATAAATATATTCTAACAATATTTTTTTTTTCTATTTATTATAATATGTGTTAAAATATGAATAAATATTAGAGATTGAAGATGTCAACTTCAAATTGTCTTTGTTAAATATTATGTAAATACAAAGTCCTAAAATATGTTTTGAGTTATTTTTCTTTTGTTTCTTTGAAATATGTATATTGGAAAGAACCACCTCAATGAGGAGCGAATTTCTTACTAAGAAGCATAGAATCGAGTTTATGAGTAAGAGACATCACTCCAGTAGGAGTTTCCTACTACTAAGACATGCGTATGTGCACAAAGAAGAAGAAAGCCAAGAGCTTTCCCTCACAAGGATTCAGCAAATCTCACACAAAACACTATATAAACTCCATTGAATAATTGAGATTTCACATATATTTATAGGCTACAAACTCTTATTTCTGTAAGGATTAGGACTCGACTTTAGAAACAAATAATATTTTGTAAATACAAATGTTCTAGAACAATTAGGACTCCAAATAAAAATCAAATAACATTACTTGATACAATATGACTACTAGATTATGAAGCACATATACTTCAAATAGGGTGACGTATCCATATCGTATTCATATCGGATATCGATACTCTTTGGATATTCACAGATATGTATCGGATACTTTATTAAAAGTATCGGATACTTAATTTTGAAGTATCGGATACTTAATTTTGAAGTATCGGATACGTATTACTTGTTTTACGAAATTATAATTGTAGCATTTCTTGCATAATATTATATATTATAATATAATTGCAAGGATAAATATAAGAATATTTTTTTAATACTTTATTTAGTTCTTTAATATGAAGAACAGTGAGTTAAATAATATAATTTGTCAAATTGATGTATCCTAATTGTTTCATGCATGTCCCCTATAAATACATAGAAAGTAAAGATTAATAAGAGAATATAATAATATTAAATAAATAAGAAAGTAAACTTGAATACAAAATTTTTTACTAGTGCCAAAGGGAAAAAAGCACCGGATAAGTTGTGGATTGTTCTATTATTGTAATATAAACATGTTAGACTTGATATTGAAATGAAATATTTGCAAGACCTACTGCCTTCAATTAATAACTAATTTTTAAAGATTAGTATTTTGCATTATAAAATTACATTGTGGCTTCTTAACATTCTTTACCTTATGTGTAACTCACTACTAATAATTTTAAAAATATATATTTTTCACAAACGTATCCTAGCCGTACCCGTATCTTATTTTTTTAGGTTTTGTCATATTACCGTATCCGTATTGTATCGTATCCGTATCTCGTATCCATGCTTCCTAGCTACTAGACCCATGCACAGTGAAAAGTGTTAACTTAGGCTTTGGAGGGAGAAATTAAAGATTGTATTATTAAATTAATCAAAAGAAGTATCTATAATGTAAACTAAACAAATCATAATAACAAAACCAAATACTAAACTACCCTTAAGCTAAATAATAAATAATACACGTTCAGGATGTGACAGTAGGAAGCAGTGAGAGTTTGTCAAGTAGAAAGCAGAAACACAAAACAGTGTGAGACTTTGTGAAAAAGTCAACCAACTGCATAGTAGAGGAAACAAAGGACAACAAAGTGTGAGACTGAAGATGATGATGCAGAAGTGACAACAATCTCAATATACTTGGTCTTCTCATGAAAGACAGAGTTATGTGTAATATGAATGGCACTCTTATCATCACAATACATAGGAGTGGACATAAAAAATGAGATACCAAGATCCACAAGCAGCCAATGCAACCAAACAATTTCAGCAGTTGTAATAGCCATAGCACGATATTCAGCCTTAGCAAAAGAAAGAGTAATAACAGTACGTTTTTTGCTTTTCCAGAAAATGAGTTACTCAGAAAAACACAAAAACTAGTAGTGAATTTAAGATCCATGTGCATCTCCTGCCTAGAAAACATCAGAAAAAGCATGGAGTCCCAAAGAAGATGAAGAAGAAAATAACGAACTCTGATGCAAAGAGTCTTGAAGATAATACAAGATACAAAGAACAGCAGCACAGTGAACTGTAGTGGGAGAGGAAACAAATTGACTAACATTATGGATTGCATAAGCAACATCAGGGCGTGTAGTGGCTTCTAACAAGAACATGATACAGATTGTAGTGGCTTCTATCCCAATTGTACCACATTTTAGAGTATGTGGTGTACCATGTTCCCATTTTCATTCCTTGTACCAGAATGATCTACATTCTAGGTAACATAGGTTCCAACACTGATAAAGCAATGCACAAAATTTAGACAGCTCACAAGCTCGCTCTTTATTGTTCAAGTTTTGAATGGCGCATGAAATTCTAAAAGCTAAATTCATCTCAAATATAGCAAATTTAAGTTTATGTATATTAGCAAAATTGACATTTCTAAAAGCCAATATCTAAAAGATAACAGATTGAACTTCAGCAAAACTTCCCTTCTAATAAACATACCATTTTCATGCCAATCAACACGACACCTCGAACAGTGAACCATTTCAAAAGAGCTACTAGGATATGGTAGTTGTTTTGTGGCTAAAGCAGCAATCATTGCTCCAATTCCTCGCTCCAAAGCAAACTGAATTTGATTTTCATGGCCATCTTTGGGAGCAAAGGACATTGTTTTTATATTTAAGTCAAGAAGATAAGCTGAGAAGCTAGCAACACCACAACCAACATCTAGAACTTGAAATACCCCAGCAGAACGCAGATCACCGGAATCATTAGTTGTCATATTTCCTAACCTACAATAAGAAAATAAAATAATAATAATAATATCAATAGAAATAACAATAAATTGGAAAAATAACCTCAGGATCTGTCTTTAGTGAAACCATAATAACTACTAGTCTGTGCCACGCATAATAAGTAAAAGTATTGCTAAACTCAGATAATAGAATTTAGATACGGAACTACCCAAAGAGGCAATGACTAATTAACTGTATAGTCCTATAAATACAACTGGAAGATAGGCAGTTGCACTGTAAAACACCCATCTTTTAAAGCCTGATACAAGGAAGAATACCATACACATGTCATGCTGGTATACTTTAATTGTTTGCTCACTAAAGTGAAATACATAATAGAGCATAATAAAAATAACATTTTAAAAAAATCGAATGGAGATCATTTTTTTAAGCAAAACTGCAGAAAAACAACTATCAAGTAATCCAATCACTATCAAATATGACATTTGTATGAGAAAATATCATCAACAATTTTATGCCCTTCTCTTGTGACTATATAATGCTATATTTTACAGTTTTTTCTGTTACTCATATGCATTAATTTTTTCCTGTTATTCCATATGCATCATGACTATTACCTAACTAATCAATGTCTCCAAAAAGTAATCACTTTATCATCTATTTGCATACTCACAAGGACTTTATTCATTATTCTTCCTTTAGTGGCAAAAGAACTTGAAAAGATGCAGAAAAAGTTTCATTTGGGACGTATTGGTAACGAGTTTAAACATTAATCGGTGAATTGGGACATAGTTTGTGCTATTATTAGTGAGAAAAGTTTGAAGATTCGGAGGCTTGAAATTTTCAACCAGGTCCTCTTAAAGAAAACAACTATGTAGCTATGCCAGTGAGGGGACAAGAAGAAAAGCATTCAAATCAGTTGGAAAAGTAACTACTTTGAGATTGGTTGTGAGCGGGGCCAGACTGCTCAGGTAATAATAATTTTTAAGAACATAGAAAGCAGATCCTTCAAAGAGATATAAGATAGATAGTTGATAGTTCAAATATTACTCCATCATGGGCTTATAAAAGTTTGGCCCAAGGAAAAGATAGGAAGGAATGTAAATGTACAAGGGAGCTACATATCCAAACAAATTGATAGAAGTCAAGCACTTCCAATGTCGTTTTGTCATAAAGATCAGATACTGAGAAGGAAGAGAAGAGAAAATCAGAGTCAGATTTAGTCAACCATAAGAGTTAGCTCAAGGCAACCAAGGTTCTGCTACATTGTCAGTGATAAGTTGTACTTTGGTTTCTCCATCTTCATCAAAACCTGACATAAAATGCCATAAGTTGCAAAGCCCAAAGGAAATAGAAACTCCGACAAAAGCAACCCCCACTAGAACACAGAAAAGTGTAGATTTAGAGAAGAGAAAGAGTTAGGGTATGACTTAGACCTCATCCCCTTTTATATAGATAATAATCAGTAATTACAGGAGTGCCACAAGGCATAAATTATGGGCCAGTCCATTACACCAATTACGGGAAAAAATCAAATAAGAATAAAATCACACAATATTATTTCCTATTCTAACACTCCCCCTCAAGTCGGTGCGAAAATATCTCTCATACCCAGCTTGTTGAGAATGCCATTAAATGATTTGCTCCCTAGTCCCTTGGTGAGAACATCTGCTAATTGGTCCCCAGTCTTCACAAAAGGAATACATATGGTGCCACTAGTAAGCTTTTCCTTGATGAAATGCCTATCAATCTCCATATGCTTAGTTCTGTCATGTTGAACTGGATTATGAGCTATGTTGATTGCGACCTTGTTGTCACAGTATAATCTCATGGAATCGATCTGATGTAACCCCAAGTCTCCCAACAATAGTCTAATCCATAGCAACTCACATACACCCTGAGCCATAGCCCTGAATTCTGCCTCAGCACTAGAGCTAGCAACCACATTCTGTTTCTTACTTCGCCACGTAACTAGATTGCCTCCAACAAATGTGCAATATCCTGAAGTTGATCGTCTGTCAGTGATTGATCCAGCCCAATCCGTATCAGTGAATGCCTCCACACTGAGGAGTCCATGTTTTGAGAAATAGAGACCTTTTCCAGAAGAAGTCTTCAGGTATCTCAGAATTCTCATAACTGCCTCTAAGTGAGAATTTCTAGGAGCATGCATAAATTGGCTAACCATGCTCACTGCAATGGCAATGTCTAGACGTGAGTGAGATAAGTACATGAGCTTACCCACTAGCCTCTGGTATCTCCCCCTGTCGACTGGATCTCCCTCTTGATCCTCACTCAGTTTTTGGCCGGTTCTAAAGGTGTATCCAAGGTTCTGAAAAGTGGTTGCGGTCGCTGTAACGGTGGCGGTGGTGCGGTCGCAGTTGCAGGGTGTAAAGGCCATAGCGTAACGGTTGCGGTAACCGGAACCGTGAATTTTTTTATTTTTCGCACAATTTGAAAAAAATTTACCGATACGCACATTTTTTTCCCATGATCATATTTATTGGGTTTTAAAATAAATATTGATCAATTTTTGTAAATTTTTAAGTTTGATTCAATATATTTCGTATTTTTAAATCACTATAAACTAAGTTTTTTACATTTTATTTTAATAATTAATAACTTTATATTATACAAAAAAATCAATCACTAATTATTATATATAAGATAAACAATGACAAAAGTAAGAGAATAAATAAAAATTTAAATATATATATATATTTTTTAATCAAGCCAAATAGATAATGACCACACTTATTATTATTATTTTCAAACAATATATAGATAGACACACACAAACAAAATAGTTGAATGATAGCAGTTGAATACAATAGCATAGGTCTTATAGTTTCAACAAATCAATAACATGTTCATCTTCCCTCTTCTCTGTCTCTATCTCTTGCTCCTCCATCTTCCCTCTTCACTCTCTATCTCTCTTCCCCCATTTTCAAATTTTTTTTTTTTTTGGCATGTTTTTTCAAAAGAAGCAATTCGGAACCGTTACGTAACAGTGCGTAACAAGCCATTACGGCCGTTATGGCACCGTTACGACCGCTATAGCGGCCGCTACGGCCGACACACCTGTGAATCTCAATCACACTGCGAAAGCGGCCATAACGGGTGGCGGCAACCACCACAACCGTTACGTAACGGCGTTACGTAACGGCTGCGGCCGCTTTTTAAAACCTTGGGTGTATCACATGATCTACCTCCAAGCATTCCCGTTTCCTTTAGCAAGTCAAGTACATACTTCCTCTAGCATATGAAGATGCCATCCTTAGACCGAGCTACTTCAATGTCCAAAAAATACTTCAAATAGCCTAAGTCTTTGATTTCAAACTCCTTGACTAAGTATTCTTTTAAACGAGGAATCTCCTCAACATCATCTCCTGTCAAAACAATATCATCAACATAGACAATAAGAGCTGTGGTCTTACCATGCGAAGAGTGTTTCACAAACAAGGTGTGATCAGTTTGACTTTGCTTGAACCTATATTTCAGCATAGCTTGAGCAAACCTTTCAAACCAAGCTCTAGGAGACTGCTTTAGTCCATAAAGTGACTTTTGGAGCCAGCATACTTTACCGTTGGACTTAACATCCGCAAAACCAGGAGGAATATCCATATAGACCTCTTCTGCTAAGTCTCCATGAAGGAAGGCATTCTTCACATCAAGCTGATGAAGTGGCCAATCCAAATTTGCAGCAAGAGAAAGTAAGATTCACAGAATTCATCTTAGCAACCGGTGCAAATGTCTCCTGATAATCCACCCCATAAGTCTGAGTGAAACCCTTGGCAACCAGTCTTACTTTGTACCGTTCTATGGAACCATCTGCTTTGTGTTTTACCGTGTACACCCACTTACACCTAATTGGATTTTTGCCTCTAAGTAACTCCACTAACTCCCAAGTGCCACTTTTGCTGAGAGCTCTCATCTCTTCCATCATGGCATGCTTCCATTCAGGAATGAAGAGAGCATTCTGAAAATTGGTAAGAAGACTCACAGAAGACACATTAGACAAAAAGGCTTTATATGAGGTAGACAGATTAGAATAAAAGACATGATTACTAATAGGATGCTGAGTACATGGCCCAACCCCCTTCCTATTAGCAATGGGAATATCAAGATTTGAAAAATCAGGAATGGGAGCATTAGAATTAGAATTTCCTGGACTCTCAGGAGAGAGGGGTGACTCTGGACACTTATTCGGAGAAGAAATTAGCAGTGGAGGAAGGAAAGTAGGCTCTTGCATCCAGGTGACTTGTTGTCTATCCTTGTCCCAGATATAAACTTTGCCTGCTTCCTTTTCCTAAACAACTGCTGGCTCATCATCCTTCATCTGTTCAACCACTGGCGGAAGTGGAACAGGAATCTCTTCACACCAAGGCTCCCCCAGAAGGGATGACTATGATTACAAGGGAGGTCGGAAAGTAAGGCTGAAACTCAAAAAATGTGACATCCATAGAGACAAACCATTTGCGAGTAGGAGGATGATAACACTTATAACCCTTTTTGGTGGCAGAATAACCCAGAAAAACACACTTAAGAGACCTAGGATCCAATTTACCACGAGTGGGTGAATGATTATAGACAAAGCAAACACAACCAAAAGTCTTAGGAGAAATGGAGAACCCAGAAAGGTTAGACCTGAACAAAACTTGAAGAGGTGTTTGTTTTGAAAGACTTGGGTAGGAAGACGATTAATCAAATAAGCAGCAGTGAGAACCGCTTCCCCCCAATAGGAGTAAGGAACCTGCATCTCAAAGGATAGACAACGAGTGACATCAAGGAGATGGCAATTTTTGTGTTTTTGCAACACCATTCTGTTGAGGGGTGTTAGTACATGAAGTCTGGCGAATAATGCCATGAGTGGCGAAATAAGTGACAAGTCCAGAGTCAATATATTCCCCCCCATATCAAAACGTAAAATTTTGACAACCGCCCCAAACTGAGTACAAAACATTATATGAAAGTTTTGAAACACAGAAAATACCTCACTCTTATCTTTCATCAAATAGACCCAAGTCGCCTTGGAACAATCATCTATGAAGGTAACAAACCATTTTTGACCGGTTAAAGACACAAAATGGGATGGACCCCAAACATCAAAATGAATCAAAGAAATGGAACTAAACTTTTATTAAGAGACGGAGCAAGAGAGGCTCTGTGTTGTTTTCCAAGTTAACGAGACTCATTGAAAATCGCGTACATTATTTTTCTCAAAAACGGAAGGAAATAAATGCTTAAGTAATAAAAAAGAGGGATGTCCCAAGCGACGGTGCCACAGCCAAATGTCTTCCTTGGTAGATAGTAACTGAATAGATGAATGACCCAGCTAGTCTGTCTGATCCAGAATGTAGAGCCCATGTTCTTCTCTACCACTGCCAATTCTCTTCCTCGTGATAAGGCCCTGAAAAAGACAATGATCAGGAAAAAAACGTCACGCTACAATTTAAGTAACGGGTAATACGACTCAAAGATAATAGATTAACACTAAAATTGGGAACATGGAGGATAGAGAACAAAGGAAGGGAAGAGGTGGCATGAATTAAACCTTTCCCTGACACAGACGACATCATACCATCAGCAATACACAATTTTTCCTGACTTGAGGAGGGGTTATACTTGGAAAATAAATTAGAAGAGCCAGACATATGGTTGGAAGCACTAGAGTCAACAATCCATAGTACAGGTGTATGAGATAGCAATACACATGGGGAGGAAGTCAAGTTACCTAAAGTAACAAAGGAAGAAGAGGGTGCACCTGTAGCAGAAGTGAAGGCTCGATGGTCTAGAAAGTGGCGAAGAGCAAACTCAAAATCCGAGGTAGATAACCCCGAAACGTCAACAGGATATGAGACAACCAGAGATAAAGATGGTGGCTCAACAGTGTCTAAGAGATGTGCCCGAATACCAGGACGGTCTCCTCGACCTTTGGACTGACCAAATTGACTCCCGCGAGTACCAGAACGGTCTCCTCTACCACCAGAAGGAGTCCCATGTAGCTTCTAACAAGTTTCTCGAGTGTGGCGAGGTTGACGACAATAGTCACAATAAAGATTATCCTTCTCAGAGGAAGGACGAAAACCACGAGACACACGATCTCCATCTCGAGGGGGTGCAAAAACCAAGGCCGAGCGATCAGTACTAGCAGAAGAAAGCATCGCAGAGCGGCGACTCTTCTCATTCTGCACAAAAGCAAAGGCTTCCTGGAGAGAAGGAAGCACATCCATACCAAGTACTCTGCTCCGAACCGGATCATATTCCACATTTAGGCCTTCCAAGAACTTGAAGACCCGCTCCTGTGCCACAAACTTCTGGTAACCCGCGGAATCAGTGGGACAAACGGGCTTGTAATCTTGAAGGTGATCAAGCTGCTTCTATCCATTACTAAGAAAGGTAAAATACTAGAGGATAGTCAACTCACCTTGTACCGACCTTTCAATGGAACGACGTAACTTGAAAGCCTGTGAGAAATTCCCCTTCCGGGAGTAAGTAGTAGCCACGGCCTCCCAAATATCATGTGCAGTGTCCATAGAGAGATAGCCCTCGCCAATCTCCGGGACTATAGAATGGATCAACCAACCCATAATGAGAAAGTTGGTGATCTCCCATTGATTATAACTCGGGTTCGTAGTAGTAGGTGCCTGTATCCTGCTATCCACATATCCCATCTTCCCTTTACTCTTCAAAAAGATAGTCAAACTCTACGACCACGCTAAATAGTTCTGACCATTGAGTAGAGAGGTAGTGATTTTAAGACTAGGGTTAAGGGTATCAATCATAGTAGTAGGGATAATAGAACTCTCACTCTTAGGTGTCTGAGAAGTAGTGGACACACCGGGAAAGTCTACCATGGATACTATACTAATGAACCTTTAAAAAAAACTAGTCTCAATCCCAAACCTGGAAGATAATAGTGGAAGGAACGACACAACAATCACAAAGAAAGCATAAAGAATTAAAAACTCTTTTTCTTTTTTTTTTTCCTTCCCTTTTTCTCTTTGTTGTATACAAAAAAGACAGACAAAGAAGACAATAGAGAACACCAACTAAACAGAGAAGATGACAGGGAAAGACGAAGGAGAGAGCATAGACGAAGTCAACTGGAGGACTGGTCTTGACCTAGAGGGCCTCCAGGGCTATCAACAAGCCTAGAATGGTGGCCCAGGGCTGTCAACAGACCTAGAAGGGAACAGAGAGGGCTTCGGTTGTCCTGGGTGAGGAGGTCGACTGACCTTCTGAAGCAAAGAAGGCTTTGGCTGCCCTAGGTGAAGAGGCCGACTGACCTTTTGAAGCAGAGAAGACCTCGGCTGCCATGGGTAGAAGCCAACAGGCCTTCTACTGCCCTAGGTGAGGATTGACTGGCCTAGGATCAAGGTTCTGAAAAGCGGTTGCGGTTGCGGTCGCCGTAACGGTGGCAGTAGCGCGGTTGCCGGGTGTAGAGTTCGTAGCGTAACAGTTGCAATAACCGAAACAGTGAATTTTTTTATTTTTCGCACAATTTGAAAAAAAAACTTACTGATATGTATATTTTTTTCTCCATAATCATATTTATTGGGTTTTAAAATAAATATTGATCAATTTTTATAAATTTGTAAGTATGATCCAATATATTTCATATTTTTAAATCACTATAAACTGAGTTTTTATATTTTATTTTAATAATTAATGACTTTATATGTCATAAATCCATATTACGCTTGTGGCAATTTTTTTTTTTATTGGACTTAAATGTATATAATTATTTTTTTAATTATTATACTTGTGGAAACATATGCAAATTTTAACTTGAATAGTTTTAAAAAATAAATTATACATGCTAATGTAATCATATAAAAATTAAAAAATAAATTATAAAGAACTTTTTTTTTCAAAAAAGATTTGAATCACTTGAATATTCATTTTCTTTTTGGATAACCTGTAAATAAAAATAAAATAAACTAATCAAAAAAAATTGACATGTAGAAAATATGTATTAATATATAATTATAGGTGTTATGTTTTATAGATATTTTACAAAAAAAATCAATCACTAACTATTACATATAAGATAAACAATGACAAAAGTAAAAGAATAAATAAGAGCCTATATATATATATATATATATATTTTAATTAAGCCAAATAGATAAGAATAAATAAGAACCTAAATATATATATATATATATATATATATATTAATCAAGCTAAATAGATAATGACCACACCTATTATTATTATTATTATTAAACAATATATAAATAGACACACACAAACAAAATGGTTGAGTGATAGCAGTTGAATAGAATAGCATAGGTCTTACAGATTCAACAAATCAATAACATGTTCTTCATCTTCCCACTTCTCTCTCTATCCCTCTTCCCCCATTTTCAGCTTTTTTTTTTTTTGTTTTTCGAGAGAAGCAGTTCGAAACCGTTACGTAACGATGTGTAACAGGCCGTTACAGCACCGTTACGACCGCTACGACAACCGCTACAGCCGACACACTTGTGAATCTCAATAACACCGCAAAAGCGGCCCTGCAACCGTTACATAACGGCGTTACACAACGGTTGCGGCCGCTTTTTAAAACCTTGCCGGGGATACTTGGAGGTGATCTTTGGTTGGTGCAAAGGTTCTCCTATTGTGGCTCTGACAGCATGTAGATATAGAGAAGAGAGAGTTAGGGTATGAGTTAGACCTCAAGTACTGTGTTAAAACTCTAATTTTTAGTTAACTATGTCCAACTAAGGTAACTCCCTGCAAAGTACAGTTCCTACCCAAACACATTCATAACTTGCATGCTGCTATTAGGAAGAAAATTGCCATGAGTAATGAAAGTAATAACTTTCTTGTTGATGTACATCGTAGGATACTAGATTTTAATGAAGAGGGTATGTCATGGTTCATGTGGCTTATCCTAAAAATTCTTCCAAGAAACTTCATACATGAGCTACTAGACCATTTCGTATCATTCAGAAATTTAGACTCAAGGCATATCTACTTGATTTGCCTTCAGATACGAATATTATTCCTGTTTTGAAAATTAATTTGATTGTGCTCTTATCGAGGCACTTTTTAGCCACACACTTTGTCAGAAGGTTTGCCTACAAGATTTTCTTCTCTATCAGTTTCTGTTCCTTGTCCTCCACCTCCACAATCTCATGATGATCGATTGTCGAATTTCTTAATACTCAATATGTTGGTTCTTCCCATGGTGGATATCGTCACTATCCTGTGCAATGGAAAAAACGTCCAGCCACTGATGATATGTCGATTATAGAGGATGAGTTCCGTCATCTTGATCCCACACTTTTGGAGCAACATTTTAGTCATAAACTCTTTTTAGTTAGAGAATTGATGGGGATTAAGGAGGAGAATGGAAAAATACGTGACGCGTAAGAAGCGTCAATTGGAAGTTATTATTTCAAAAATATTTAGTTTTTAGGAGTTTGTTTCCATTTTTATATTATTTATTTATTTATTTCAATTTTCTTATTGGTTATGGAAATATATGTATATATATGGGAATTGTGTAATTAAAACATTTTGTTTGCTTCATGAATATTGAAGACAGATTTCTGAACCATAGTTTGTCTTTCATCTTCTTTGGTTCTACACTTGATTTTTTTGACTAGGGAGTGAAAACATAATCAACTTCTATTGTTATGAACTTTGTTTATTGGAATGAATGTGTGGTAACATAATCATGACACCATGGTCTGAATACGTACATACATATATATATAAGGAACAACTTAACCAAGGGTACCTCTGAATGTACTCGGAAGCCCCACGCTTGAAATGAGTGCCACCACCAGGAAACCACCATAATTGATTCTTCTCGTGCACCCAATTTTGTCCTCCTTTTACCTCGGCAAGGTGCGTGTGGTTCACATTACTTCTCCACACATAGTCCCTGCTTGTTGGCCATCTTATTGGTATCTTATAATCATCTGGTGGAGGCACCAAGCAAAACAACCGCCTTTCAAGAGGAGCGCAATGCCTCTGTAGTTCTTCTCTCCTTGAAAGGTCTAACTTTGGCAACAATTCTTTCACATAAGAAATGTCATGGCAAGGGATATACTCATTGAACATTAAAGGGCAAATGTTCATTCCAGCTTCAGGAATCGATAGAGGTTTTGTCCTATAAGAAAGAACAACTTCGTTTGTAAAAGTTGGAATACCTGCGAGCACAAACAAAAAAAAGTAAATAAATAAATAAAAACAAAAAGAAGCAGTGTAAACAAAAGATTCCAGACATTCAGAACTTTATGCAACATCTAAGGCTCAGTTTGGTTAGATAAAGAATACAGAAAAGTGAAAGAAAAAGCCGAAAAAAAAAAAAAAAAAAAAATTATGTATTTGTTTAGATAGAGTCCTAGGAAGTAATGGATAATATAGTTTCATGTACAACTCAAATTAGCTTGTTAGTTAGGCTTACGACTTCTTGCAAAATATACAAGGAAATTTATTTTTGACAATGCTTATTTTGTTTCCATGTTTACCCATGCTTCTCTCCACAACTCCTTGTTACATGGTGATTACATTTTTTCCAATCATTTTCTTGCAAATTTTTCCATCTGTTCAAATGCATGCAACAAAATAAATTTTCATTTCCTTTTCCTTTCTTTCACTTCACTTTCTACCATTTTCATCTTCTATCATTCGTTTCTTTCTAAACAAACTGAGCCTAAACGTTTTTCCTGTCAAGCATGATAAGAATGCAGGGTTTAGTACAAAGGCAGAAACTTTGCAGGTATTGCAAGGGGTCAGGTTTTTACAGAGTCTACCCTTCCCAGCACTCTCTTAATGGGAACTACCATCTGCTCGTCAATACAAAGCTCAGTAACTACCTAAACCAAAATTTATGAGGGGTTGACCGTTAGCATTTACACTATGGATCTCCTAAAGAGGGCGGATTGAAGTAAAAGAAAACACCTCAAAAGTGTAACCACTGATGTAGGATAATTAGGGAATTACTCACCTATTAGGAGAAATCTCAAAATTAATACGAGGAAGCAGAAAACCTAGACTTCAAGGGCTGATTATAAGTGATTTTTATGGCTAATGAGGTAAAAATAGAGGCTTTTAGGATTTACACATCGCAACAGAAGGGTGGGATTTTAAGAATAAAAATACAAGATTCTTGGGTCTGTTTTGAGGGATGTTCTGGGTGGCTGAAAAAGGTACCTGACAACAATAACTTCGCTAATTTGGGGTATTTGATGTGCTATTATTGTATAATTGGATTGGGATTAGTTTAGATTTGACCAATGGAAGTGTAAGGGTAAAAGAAAAGTAGTTCAAATCTGATTTTAGGGTTTTAAAGACTTAAAATCACATAAATTTAATTTATAGAGAAGTGTAGGCATCACTATTTATCCCCAAAAAAAAATTGTAAACATCACACATGGGATTTGATTGAATCACACAATCTAAAAAAAAGCATCACAGCCCTTGAGCAATAAACTTAAACAAATTATATAAAAAACTATTCAGATTAATACCTAGCCTAAGGTCATGTTTGACTTGATAACATAATTCAGTACTTAAGATTGAATGCAAGTGAAAATAACAATTTGTATCACTTAAAATTTAAGTGACTCTTAAAATGTAGGTTAATAGGTGAGAAATTTTAAGTAGTAGAATTCTTACTTAATGCTGACTAAAAAGTTGGGTATGCATAAGAATTACCGTTATTGACCTTACCACTGCTGTCATCACCACTACCACTACACCCCACCCTCAACACCACCACCACCACCAACATCCCCTTGCCACCACAGCCACCATCATTACCATTGCCATCGTCACCACAAGCAACACCATCATTTCCTTACCACCATTGTTACCACCACCAATACAACAACTACTAGAACCCTCCACCTCTATTGCGGCCATAGCCACCAACATCATTCCATCACCAAAACCATCACCGCCGCTACTACCCCTCTATCATCACCCCACAACCACTATACCTTCACCTCCAGCACCATTGCCATTTGTGCCATATCCACCATCGTCACTGCCACCGCCACCTCCAACTCACCACCACCATATAAAAAATGGAAGAGAAAATTTTAAAAAAATAAAATTTGAATTTCACCTTATACGTATCAAACAACTTATTTCAATAAACTTATTTTAGTTCAACACTTCAATTTTATCAAACAAGTTTTCAACTTAAAAAATTTAGCATTTAATTTTCAATACTTAATGTTCAGTTTTTAACTGTATCAAACACTACCTCAAGTGAACACTTAAAACTCAATATATTAAGCGAAAATCAGTTAAGTCCGTTAAAAAACCACAATTATATCACTTAAAAATTTAAGTGACTCTTAAAATATAAACTAAAAGTTGAAATAGTAGATTTTTTACTTAATACTAACTAAATTTATAACTACTTGTGCGTAATCATTGGCATGCAACGTTATGACCTCATCACCATTGACATCACCACTATTACACCCCCACCCCCAGTGTTATTAAAGACGATAAGTGCACCAAGGTGCCAAGGTCTCCTGGGACCTAGGCTCAAGGCACAAGGCGAGGTGCGGGCTTCACCGAAGTGAGGCGCACCTTGTACCGAAAAAAATATAGAATTTAATATAAGTAAATAATTTAGGGTTCAACATAAACAAAATGAAATGTTAAACATTTAGTGTTTTTTGGAGATTATGAATTAAGGCTAATTTTTCTTCTATCATTGATTTGGGGTTGAATGCCAAATGTATTGACATCTGTAATAAGAGTAGGGATCTTTTGTAGCTGCACCATATGAAGTCAATGGTTAGATTTTAAACAAAACCAATTAAAGTAACAATAAAAACAGCCCTCAAGAAGCAAGCCTTGGGCTAATTAAGCACCTTATCACAGTCGTCTAGCCTGGAACACTACAAGGCACAAACCTCGGGCCTGGACGGGACTTGAGCCTAGGCGCACGCCTTATCAAAGTCACCTAGCCTGGAACACTACAAGGCTCAAACCTTGGGCCTGAATGGGACTTGGGCCTAGGCGCACCTTTAATAACACTGCCCACCCCTACCCATACCATTTGCCATTACCACTACCACTAATACCACCACCACCACTACCTCTACCTCCACCACCATTGCCATCGTCACCACAGACATTATAATCATTTCACTATCACTATGAAGCACCGACACTTCAAAATAAGTGCCATATCTATGTCGGACACACGAACACTTTGGGGACACATATGGGACACAGCACAAAGCATGTCCCTTTATTTTATTAATTTATTTTCAAGGGACTCTTCGGGGACACACTAGGGACATCCCAAGTTGTCTTTTCTCTCATTTTATTTGGTGCTTTTGATGAATGTTGAATGTTTATTATTTTTTTTCCTTATATTTAAATCCTTAATAGATCATCCATAAAAAAATATATAAACTGTAAGTGTTAATTTAAAAATGATTTTTTAAATAAAAAAAATAGAATTATAGTTAATTTTTGTTAATATAGATTGTTTGTGGATGTAATATTAATCTAGATAGCAAATAAAAATATATGAAATCATATTTTATTGCCATGTCTCCATCTCCACGTCCCCATTTTTTTGAAATTGTCGTGTCATCCCATGTCAGCGTCTGTATTCGTGTTGGTGCTTCTTAGCACAACCACCACCACTACTACTACAACCCTCCACCTCCACCACTGTTGCCACCAATGTTATTAAAGGTGCGCCTAGGCATGCACCTAGGCCCAAGGCTCATCAAGGCATAGTCAGTGCACTTCGAAAAATATCTGGCCAGGCAATGTAAAACAGTCCCCAAAAAGGAGCATGAAGCATGAGCTTTGGGCTTAGGCTGAAGGCGTACGACTTGTGCGCTTCTTTTAAAATGTTTATTTATTACAATCACTACCCTTAATTTCACTTAATCTCAATTTTGTTTTTTCTTTTTTTTTTTCATGCTGCTACAAGGATTAAACCCTTAAACATACATTTGCAACTTAATATTGTTTTAGCCATAATAGAAAGACGTTGGTTGGATAGAGCTTTCTCTTCAACCAAACTAACAATTATCGTCATTCTTCTTGTTCATCTTCTCCTCCTCCTTTTTTATTCTTTACACTTATGTTGTAAAACACTTCAATTTTGTTTCTATTTTTAAATGTTTATGCTTTATGAGTTAGATGATTGTGTTTATGTGCAACCTTTGTCTTCGATAAAATATTGGTGTTTGTTGATATTTACGCTTTAAAATATTTAATTATGTTGAATCTTGAATTATTTTCTTATATTAAATTATGTATTTTTTTATCGTCAACATGATCCTTGTTTCGTTGAAGCACGCACCTCGCCTGGCATCTAGATCCTAGGAAACCTTGGCGCTCCAGAGAGCCTATTGCCTTTAATAACACTAGTTGCCACAACCACCACCACCATTCCACCATCACTACACCACCATTGCCTCCACCACAACTAGTATCACCATTTTGTGCCATTGAGCCATAGCCACTTGACAATGCAAAAATAAATTGTCCATAGTTTCCTCATTTCCTCTTACACATTATATACCACTTTAAAAGTAAAAGACAATTAGGTCTTTTCTTCTGAAAATGTCATTAGCATTGAGTTTCTTATTGGCCATAAACCATGTGAACTTTTTAAGAGGCATATCACAGCCAAATCATCTTTATGAAAATAGAAATAAATAAATAAAAAGACGACACAGAATAAATCCAATGAATGAATTGCCTACACTCTTCTATAAACAACCTAAGGTCTCAAAGAAACGTTATCAAGGATATTGAATAAGGAAACTGCGTCATCACGATCATTAAGGTTTATGAAAAAATTAAAGTTCCAAAAAGCCAAGTGAGAGAAAGCCCAAGAAGAAATAGAGACATTACACAAACGAACTAACTGATGTAAAGGGGGGAATGAAACCCACCCTCCAAACATCTCCCAGAAGTGAATACTCTTCCCACTATCTACATGTAAACCAATGAAACGGGAAAAAAAAGGGAAAGAATTTAGAACATATTTCCATGGAAATCGGCAATTTTCCCTATTAACTCCAAAACATTCGCCTAAAACCTATACTTACTCTCTCTTAATAATGAAATGCAATAAGGAATCAATCTGAATTGGAAATCACCTTGATCGCTTTCTAGAAAATTCGATATAAAAGATTTGCAAGAAGCTTAGGCG